ATGATCAGCTGTTCAAGTGTTTTGGCATCGAATTAGGAAATTGTTTTTACTCTGTTATTGGTCTGTTTTTGTTCTTCGGCAATTGTTTATTAAATCTAAAATTATTTCAAAATATTTGAATTTTACTTCATTTGTTTTTATGTTTCTTTTCAGAATTTGGATTTTCTTGTTTTAATCATCAACAGGTAACTTTCTTAATTTATTTTTATGTATTATACATTTCAAATATTTGATGTCTATAAAATCAAAATTATTTAATTTGCATATAATATATTAAAACCTATATAACATATGATAAAATTAACTTATAATAATAAACTTTTTAAAATTTGCGTATATTATAAAAAAATATAATAATATTTAAATTAATTACAATAAATTTATTTCAAAATTTATAAATTTTTAATCATTTATTTTTATGTTTCTTTTCATAAATTGATTTTTTTTTTTTTTGATTCAACCTATGCCAAGTTTAATTCGGGAGCCTGGTAACAACTTTTAATTATTTTTGCATATTATATCTTACATATATAATGGAATATAAATCAAATTTATTTAATTTACATAAAATATCTTAAAACATTAAAATCATATGATAAAAATTAACTAATAATAATAAACATTTAATCAATTCCTTTATATTTATAAATTGTATTTGAACTTAAATTATTCAATTTAAATTTATTCCAAAATATTCGAATTTTAATTCATTTGTTTTTATGTTTCTTTTCAGAACTTGCATTTTTTTGTGTTTCAAACTTTATTAGGATTTGTTTGGGACTCCGGTATTATTATTAATTTATTTTTATGAATTATACACTTTAAATATTTAATGTCTATAAAATCATCATTATTTAACTTACAAGAAATATATTAAAACCTCTAAAGTATATGATTAAAATTATTAAAATAAACTCTTATAAATTGCGTTCACAATTATAAAATATAATAAAATTTAAATCAATCAATCTAATTTTAGTTCAAAATACACGAAATTATATTCCTTTAATTTTATGTTTTTTTTCATAAATTAGTTTTTTTTTTTCTTATTTAACCTAAGCCAAATTTAATTCAGGAGTCGGATAACCACTTTAATTTTTCTGCATTTGATACTGTTACGTAATTGTATAAATTAAAATTCAATCAAGGAACTAATCTTTTGATTATTTTTGCGGCGTCGTGTGTAGGTAACCTAATGGACTCTGCAGTAATGGCGGGCGACTGTGACAGTGGCAACGACGTCAAAGGAATGGATCACGCTATTTTCTAGACAAGGGAAATAGGAATAAGAGGCTAGTTATAGGGGGGGATGCTCTACTGGTCGATTCGGTATGGTGCAATGACCAGCAGAGTTCACACTAATCGGACAAATACCTTAAACCTAAACACTCAATTCACAATGTAAATATATGGTCGACGACGATAAAGAGAGTAACTATAATTTACGGTGATTGGTAACTGGACGACCTCTCATACACCACACCAGACGCTGGTGGTCTTACGTTTAGACAGTGGACAATATAGTGACCCGAACGAAGTTTATTTTAAAAGAATTCACGATAATTTGTAGAGGGTGGACACGCAGACAATAATAAATCACAACGACAAAGATGAGATCTTTTCTTTTATTGATAATTTTTTAGTGGTAAAAATAATATATTATTATTACTCACAATTAAACATAAACATTAAGTCACATCGGCCATAATAATAATAATAATAAAAAAAATTTTGACTTAATGGCGAAGAATTACAAAGTATATGTTCTATCGCAGTGGCGAAGATTAACAAAATTAACAAAAAAACTGTTAAAATAGCAGACAACGATAAACAAAATTTAAAATAAAATTAATATACAAAAAAATTAATAATCGCGTTGGCCGCTAAAAGTAAACAAAAAATAAAATAGAAAAAGATAATAATTATAATAATTTAAACAATAAGAACAAGTTTTGTCTTTGATTTTTTTTGTTTTTGGCAGTTTTTTGTAGTTCTGTTTTGGTCTTCGTCTTTTGGTGTAATTTGTTGTAATATTTAATTTTAATTTAATTGTTTTTGTTTCTTTTCAGACTTTGGATGATTTGGGTTTCAACCTTCATCTGGATTCGTTCGGGAGCCAGGTAACCCTTTCAATTAATTTGTTGATTTTTATACATTCATTATATACTGAGAGATAAAACAAATTCATTTAATTTGCATAAAACATCTTAAAACATTAAAATCATATAATTCAAATTAACTTATAATAATAAACTTATAATCTTATGAGTTTATATTTATAAAATGATTTTAATTTCAATTAATCAGTCGAATATTATTTCAAATTAATCGAAAATATTCGAATTTTAATTTATTTAATTTTATGTATATTTTCATAACATGGATTTTTTTTTTCAACCTAAGCAAAGTTAAATTCAGGAGTCGTATAAGCACTCTTAATGCATTTTATAACTTTTAATATTTCATGATATAAAAATAAAATAGATTTCATTTACATTAAATATCTTAAAACATTCAAAACATATGATTTAAATTGACTAATAATAATTAACTTATAAACACTTGTGTTCATATTTATAAAATATATATTTATATATATTTCAATTTAAATTAATCAATTTAATTTTAAATCTATATATTCGAATTTTAATTCATTTGGTTTTATGTTTCTTTTCAGAATATGGATTTTGTTGTGTTTCAACCATAATAAATATGCGTTCGGGAGCCGGTTTATCTAAATTTTATTTCATTTAAATTATTTAATCTAATTTTATTTCAACATTTTCCGATTTTAATTTATTCTGTTTTTATATTTCTTTTCAGAATTTATATTTTGTTGTGTATCAAAATTCGTCAGGACTCGTTCGGCAGCAAGGTAACTTTCTTAATTTATAATTTTGTATTATACACTTCAAATTTTAATGTATATAAAATCAAAATTACTTAACATACAAAAAATATATTAATACCTTTAAAACATACGATTAAAATTAACTTATAATAATAAACTTTTTAAAATTCGCATTCATCATTATAAAATATAATTAAATTTAAATTGATCAATCTAATTTTATTTTAAAATATTCAAATTTTAATTATTTTATGTTTCTTTTCAGAAGGTGGATGTTTTTGTCTTTGACCTTCATCAGGATTTGTTCGGGAGCAGGTTTACATAAAATATATTTTTGAATTTAAATTAATCCATATGATTTTATTTCAATATATTCGAATTTTAATATATTTGTTTTAATGTTTCTTTTCAGATCATGGATGTTAATGATTTCAACTGTCATCAGGATACGTTTGGGAGCCGGTTTATTTAAATTTTATTTCATTTAAATTATTTAATCTAATTTTATTTCAAAATTTTTCAATTTTAATTAATCTGTTTTTATATTTCTTTTCAGAATTTATATTTTGTTGCGTATCAAAATTCGTCAGGACTCGTTCAGCTGCCAGGTATTATTCTTTATTTATTTTTATGAATTATACATGTCCATAAAATCAAGATTATTTAATTTGCAAAGAATATATTAATACCTTTTAAACATTTGATCAAAATTAACTTTCAACCTAAGTCAAGTTTAATATGGGTGCCAGGCAACCACTTTTAATTGTTTTGCATTTGATACCATAAATGTATAATGGAATAAAAACCAAATGCATTTAAAATACATAAAATACTAAAAACCTTTCAATCATGTGTTTTAAATTAACTAATGTTAATCAACTTTATGCAGCTGTCTTTAATTTATAATGTATATTTCAACTTAAATCAATCAATATATTTTTATATCCAACTATACAATTTTTTATAGATTTAGTTTAATGTTTCTTTTCAGAATTTGGATTTTATTTCGTTTCAACCCTCGTCTGGACTTGTACGGGAGCAGGTTTACCTAAAATATTATTCAATTATTCAACGGAAATTTATATCAAAATAATCGAATATTAATTAATTTGTTTTTATTTTATTTTCAGAACTTGGATTATTTGTTTTGATTATTGATTTTCGACAATTGTAGTTTTTGATATGTGTTTGTTTATTGGTTTTTATTTTTTGTTGTTTTTGATAGATTTATTTTTTGTTTTTATCACTAATAATTTAGTATTTATTTTTGATTGGTGGGTTATAATTGTTGTTGGATAGCTGTTTAAAACCTTTCGGTGTTTATTAGGGAATTTTTTTTACTTTTTATTCAAGGTCTGTCTTTTTTTGGTGATGTGTTTAGGTATTTTTAATCCCCCAGGGGAACACGTTCTTACGTGATTACGGGTCTTAGCGAACCCGGGGTCCCGAGCTCTAATTTGGTTGTTTGTAGGTAGGGTTGAGCAGCTGATCAAGTCTTTTGTCGTTTAATCAGGGAATAGTTTTTATTATGTGGTACAGGTCTGTTGTTGTTATTAGCTTTTGTGATTGTTTTGAATTTAATTGATTGTTTTTCTTTTTTGTGTTTTTGTATATATTTATTGTCTTTTTTTATTCGTCGTCTTTGTATGATTTTTTTGTTGGTTTTTCGTAAGTAGAGTTGAACAGCTGATCAAATCTTTTGGCCAATCATTAGGGAATCGTTTATACTCTTTTTTTCAGTTCTGTTTTATTCCTCTGCTTTTGTGATTTGTTTAAGTGTTTGTTGTCCCCCAGGGGAATACGTTCTTACGTGTTTACGGGTCTTAGCGAACCCGGGGTCCTGAGCTCTAGTTTTGTTGTTTGTAGGTAGGGTTGAGCAGCTGATCAAGTCTTTTGTCGTTTAATTATTGGATTTATTATATTATGTGGTACAGGTCTGTTGTTGTTCATGGCTTTTGTGATTGTTTTTAATTTAATTGGTTTTTT